GAGATAAGATAGCTTGGTTAAGATTTGATTTTAAGTTTCTGGTATCGACCTCAGTTATTACCATATATATGTTGGTTCATGCATGATGCATTGCCGGTTGACCGAAATGGGCACTAAAAAATTTTCGGGAGATTTTCTTTGTCACGTTAACTGAAATACATATTATTAAAAATTACTTAAGTTTTTTTTTTTTTTTTTTTTTTTTTTTTTTTTTTTTTTTTTTTTTAATTTAACTTGTTTTAGTTGTAAATCAGTCTAGTTTAAGATGTCCCTATATTAAAATTTATTTCTTCTAAACTTGTTTTATGTTAACTTATTTATTTATTTTTTAAATATGTGATAAAAGGGTGAAATAAATATTATTACGACAAATTAAACATAACCTATGAAAAATTCAAGAGTCTCGCCAACTACTCGATCACGCCAGTGTATTGTTATGCATGAAGTTAAAAAATGCTCCATAGACCATATGACAATTCCCCCATATTTTGGAGTACATTACAACATTTCTAAGAGCCTATAAGCTGTGGTAGGCGATATTGTTATAATAGATTCATAGATCATGCTTCACATTTAAAACTACCGCCGTAGATTGGTGTAGTATACGGACAAAATACAACGCTAGTCAAATACACACACTGATACACTACATATTTGGTGCCCCGCAATTCTCCGACCACCTCTGACAAATTACCGTCGACGTGGATGGTGCAATTTCAACAACACGTGTAAATCCAAAATTAATAAAAATGGATCAAACAAATTTTAAATGGAAATTTGGTCTTATGAATTGCATCTACATCAACTACATGTATTATGTATATATTTGACGGTGCATTTATAATTTCTTTTTTGTCGTTTTCTAAAAATTTTATTTCTTTTTTGTCGTTCAAACGACACATAAATCTTTGGTAGCATATGATTTATTTCCTGCGCCGTGTGCATGCATGGGACTTCATTTTTTTAATTCTTCTTTTATTTTTATACGGCGTTTTGCTATACGTAACTTCAAAGAAATTCCTACCTAAGAATTGAATTTTAGGTTTTACTACAAATCAACCATAAATCAATGTTATTAATACTTGAGTAATTGTGAAATTTTCTTTGGATCGGATTATTTCTAACTTCATAAAGAGTACTCGGTTTATATAAATAATTAGAAATTGTTGTGTATGGTAAATTGTTATATACTTGTATCTTTTAATACGAAGTATATTTTATTTTTTTGAAACCTATCTTCTAAGTTCTAAATATATAAATGTATATAAGTTGTAATATAACTCTTTATTAGCAAAATCCAAGTCTAACATGTCGTCAAGAAAGAAAAAATGTATACTAGTATGTATTTTGTATTTCTTCCATATTTTCACTTGTACAATTTGAACTTTTACATTATTTACACATTTATAACCATAATTTGTGATTTAATATAGTTTTGTGGCATTTTAATTATAAAATGCATTTCAATGTATGTTTTTAAAGTATCAAGTTTTTAAATTTTTATTAGCTAAAAAGTAATTAAAAATATACACATTGTTAAATTCGTATCAATATATACCGTCATCAAGGTATCAAACTTTGTATACATAGTTTTTTTTTTTTTGGAAGAAATTTTCTTTTAGTAAAGATAATAAAAATTTACTTATTACTTAAAGAGGAAGCTCAGGTTAATCACTGTGATAAACAAAAATTGTTTATCATATGACATTTTTGTAAATAAACCAACAAGTTTATTCACTTATCATTACCGTAGGGTCCATTTTAAAATAAAAGTTATTAATTTATTTATTAAAATGACATGTGATAAACAAAAATTATTAATCTCAGAGATCAACTTGTATTTAATTACCCCTTGATCTATATGGTGTAAGTAATAAAGAAATAAAATTACTAATAGAGTAAGTACAAGATATGTAGATATGGAATTTTCGACTGATGGTCTATAAGGATTTTTTACCCTTTCTATGTCGACCCAACACGGAACGCTTAAAACGTGTGTACACATTCGTTGGTGGCGTTTGGTTAGTGCTCTTGTACACAATAGTATCTCGAATTCTCTGTGTTAAACATTTATTAATATTTGAAAATATTTTTAAAATAAATAAAATTTCCTCCATTTTTATTCGGTTGCATTATTTTAATTTTTACACTATTTACAAACTGTACTTTAACCTATTTTTTTAAGCTATAATTAACAAAAAAAAAAAAAAAAGTCATTTGAAATCTTGTTAAATTCATCATTTTGATGTATAGTTTCAAACTATTAGCTTTTTTACAATTTTTATTTGTTATCGTAATAAATAGGTAAACATATTACCGGTTGAATTTATGCATCGACAACTTAACCATTAAAGTAAAATTATTACAAACTAAATAAAAAATAGAGGAAGTACCATTAATCCCCATCAAATATACTGTCTAATTTTCCTATACATCTAATTGATAATACTAATTTGGAAGCATCATGTTATTCTAACGAAAATGAAATCTAAGCTCTATTCAATCAATCAAAGCATTAATCCTATAAATGGGGTCGGCTACATGAACTAAAAATGATTATTCCGTGTGGTCGTCCACAAAAATCTTCCTCCTCCATCCCTTACGATCCAATACCTCACCCTCATGCAAGTCCATATACTTCACAACCTTCCTAACTCCTTCCAATCAAGTCATTTTCGGTCTCTCTCTCCCTCGTTTAACCCCTCCATGGTCCCACCCTTCCACTCTTCGTACCGGTGCACCCTCAGGTTTCCGTCTTACATGCTCAAACCAACGCAAACAATTTTCCCTTAGTTTGTCTGCAATGCCTGCCACCTACTTTCTTGCGGATAACCTCATTTTAAAAAAAAACTATCTCTTAGAGTGTTTCCACACATCCACCTTAACATGCGCATTTCTATAACCTCCATCTTTTTAATGTGCTCCTTCTTAGAAACCCAACATTCTGTACCATAGAACAACACTAGTCTAATGGCAGTCCCGTAGAATTTTCCCTTCAACTATAAGAGAATGCTTCGGTCACATAACACTCATGTGGCCGCTCTCTAGTTAAGCCACCCTGACTTAATCCTGTAAGCCACGTCTTGATCAATGTCCCCATTTTTCTAGATGATCGACCCAAGATATTTAAAACATTCACTCATGGTCAAGTCTTTTCCGTCTAAACTTACCACATCATTGCTTATCCCCCTCCGAGTACCAAATCGGCATACCAAATATTCAGTCTTACTCCGACTTAACTTAAACCCTCTAGATTCCAACATTTGCCTCCATTGCTCCAACTTGGCATTAACCCTATCTTTAGTTTCATTTACTAAAATGATATCATCTGCAAACAACATACACCATGGAACCTCATCTTGAATTGGTCTAGTTACTTCATCTAGAACCGATGCAAAAAGAAAAGGGCTTAATGCAGACCCTTGATGCAATCCAATTGTAATAGGAAAATCTTTTGTCAACCCTCCACATGTCCTCACATTCGTTGACCAGATCCACGTACCTTCGCGGGATACCTTTCTTCAACATTGCCTACCAAAGTACCTTTCTTGGCACCTTGTCATATGCATTCTCCAAATCAATAAAAACCATATGAAGATCTTTCTTCTTTGCCCTATAAAACTCCATCATTTGTCTTATCAAATGAATTGCTTCCAAAGTAGATCTCCCAGGCATAAAACCAAATTGGTTATCCGAAATGCTATTGCATGCTCTCAACCTATGTTCAATCACTCTTTCCCACAACTTCATAGTGTGGCTCATAAGCTTGATCCTTCGATAGTTAGAACAATCTTGGGCGTCTCCTTTGTTTTTATAGACCGGGACCAAGGTGCTCTTCCTCCAATCTTGTGGAATCCTTGTAGCCCTCCATATCTTGTTAAAAAGGTCTGTTAACCGATCAATACCGATTTTACCCAAACACCTCCACACCTCTATCGGTATACCATCAAGACCAACCGCCTTCTTAGGCTTCATCTTCTTCAGTGCAATCTCCACCTCTACTCCCCTAATCCTCCGCACATACTCCAAGTTAATTCTTCATCACTAACAGAGGTATCTCCTATCACACCTCCATTACGTCCATTAAACAATTCATCAAAGTACCCCTTCCACCTGTCCTTGATGTCCTCATCTTGTACTAGACCAATTTGGTTCTTATCTTTGACACACTTTACCATGCCAATATCCTTTCTTGTCTCTTGTCTTTTCTTTGCCATCTTATAAATGATATTTTCTCCCTCCTTGGAGTCAAGCATTTCATAAACCTCATATAAGACTTTTCTTTCGCTTAATGAACAACTGCATTTGCCTTACTCTTAGCCTTCTTATACGCTGCAAAGGTTTCGTCGCTCCTACATTTTTCCAAGGCTTGATAGCATTCCTTTTTTTGCTTAATTACTACTTTCACCTCTTCATTTCAATACAAATTATCTCTTTGCATCGAAGTTCTCCCCTTTGATTCCCTAAGACCTCTTTGGCCACTCTCATAAAACAGTTCTTCATTCGTACCCAAGTCATGTCTGGATCCATCTCTCTATCCCAATCTGCCACCTTGATTACCATTTCTGTAAAAACCTTAGCATTTGCATCCCTCAAAGTCCACCCCCTTATCCTTGGCTCCTCTTGTCTTCCTTTTTTCTTCGCCTTCTCTTTCAAACGAATGGTCATAACCAAAAGTCGGTGTTGGATGACCACACTCTCTCCTGGGATAACCTTGTAGTTTAAGCAACTTTGTCTATCCGTGCTCCTTGTGAGCAGGAAGTCTATTTGTGTTGCATTTGCTCCACTCCGGAAAGTAATCAAGTGTGAATCTCGCTTCTTAAACCAAGTATTAGCCAAAAGTAAATCATATGGTTGGGCAAAATCCATAATAGCCTCACCACTTGGGTCCCTTTGCCCATAACCAAAGTCTCCATGAACACTCTCGAAGCCATCTCGGCTCACCCCAACATGCCCATTGAAATCACCTCCAATGTATAATTTCTCTGTATGGTGGACACCTATACCACCTCATCTAAATCCTCCCAAAATTGTCGTTTCTCTTCTGCATCTAAACCAACTTGGGGGGCATAGGCACTAATAACATTCACAATCTCCTTGCCACATAGCAACTTTACCCTTATCAACCTATCAATCTTCCGATAGACCTCAATTACCTCTTTTGACAACCTCTCATCGAGAATCACACCAACTCCATTATGAGTTCCACCATTCCTAGTCGTGTGGCTCGTTTCTTGTCCAACGTACCACACCTTGTACCCTAAAACCAGGCCTCGAGCTCGTTCTCCCGTCCATCTTGTCTCTTGGAGGCACATGATGTTTATGCGTCTTCTCTTCATCACTTCTACCACTTCTGCTGATTTCCCCATCAGAGAGCCCATATTCCAAGAACCAATCCGCAAACTAGAGTCCTTCCTCACCTGCTCCCTCCTACCACGCTCCCTCGAGCCCCCAACTACTAGCCCTTGCTCATTTGACACCACACTTGGGCAATGTGGTGTGTCGCTTTCGAGCAAGGACCTAGCAACCCTTGCATACTAAACACTACACTCGGGTCTAGGAAGTGCAGCGCGTCGCTTAGTAGGAAACGCCCCAATGGCACGCCCTTGCTCATTTGACACCACACTCGGGCAATGTGGCGCATCGCTTCCGGGCGACGACCTAACAACCCTTGCATACTTATCACTACACTCGGGTCTAGGAAGTGTAGTGCGTCGTTGAGTAGGGAACGCCCCCACGAAAATATCAGTTTGACTCATGTCATGGGATGTGACAATGTTTTACACTGGGTGTCACTAGCCTACTAAAACTCTCCTCCTTTATCCAGGCTTGGGACTGGCAGCGAGAAACCCACTGACGGAGTTAAATCTAAGCTCTATTCTCATCACCTTATTCATTAAGTTCAGTTCAAATAATTTAAGTTTAATAAAAATAAGTTCAATTCAATAAAAATAAAATTAATCATTAAAAAGAACAAACATAACATAGAATCTCTAAAAATAAGTTTTTTTTTTTTTTTTACTAAAAGTAATTTAATTTTAGTAAAAAATAATAATAATTTTGTTTCCACAAAAATAAGGTGAAAAGAACAAGATCTTATCTTTTGGCACACAATGCAGTTATAGGAAGTCATGAGTGATACACAAAGTCTCATATGTGGCTGGCCACACCGTATGGCTGGGGTTACTTGATCAGGGGTTACTCAATCATTTAGGGGTTTCTTGGTCAAGGGTTACTCGGTTAGGGGTTAATTGGTCAAGGGTTACTCAATCGGCCAGGGATTAAGAGATTAATCGGTTAGAGGTTACCCAATCAGTATTTTAATATGTGTCAGCCGGCCACACAGTGTGGCCAGCCACGAAAAAAAAAGCGTTGTGAGTGATATTATGAAGGTAATAAGAATAGACAATTTAATAATGAAAATAAATCAAAACCTTATTAAGTCAACCTACTCCTCTTATCATCAATATCTACTACTCTATACTAAACTCTTACGCGTGTATATATATATATATATTTTTTCCTTTCTTCTTCTTTTTTCTTTCTTTCTTTTTTGTGTGTGTGGAAGTATTAATTTGCCTAAAAAATTCATTATATTTATGTATTATTATAATTTTTTTTGAAGACTATTATTTAATTGACTGTTGTAATATATTTCTCTAGAAACTTCTATATTTCAATTATTAATAATTTAAAAAAACCGAGCATGGCTCGAGAATTATTTAGTTTCTATGTTATACTCCCTCTATTTTTTGCTCTACTTTCCATTTTCGGCTGTTTTTAAATAGTTGCCTCATTTTTTTATTTGGAAAACTTTTACAATATTTAATTTATTTCTCTGAACTAGTGGACCCAACATAAATCATATTTTTATTAATTTCATATTCTCTCTCTTCCAACTCTCAACTACTTTTTCTTTTTATAATTTTTTATTCTTTCACCTACCCACTACCTTCATATTTTATTACTTTTTCCAATTTCTCCTAAAACTCCGCGTATAGAGAAATGTATCAAGTATTTAAAAACGGAGGAGTACGATTTAAATTATGTTCACAATCTCTAATCCCTTTATTAAATTGCGTGTTAAAACGAATACGTAGGAAGTGCATATATGATGCTTCGTGTACGTATATTCCTCCACAATTATATATTAGGGAATATAGTTTATTGATTGAGATTAATTAATACTATGATAGTAATAGTGGAAATCGAGAAAGTTAAGGGACAATAAAATGGACATAGAATGAAAGGTGATCGGCTAATATCTACAAAGTTAAGGGAATATTACTTAATAAATAAAACCTTATACCAAATCAAATGGATTGTAATTAGTAATAATTATATATGCTTTGTCACTCATTCAATTCAACTAATCCATAATAGTGTTCATCGCCTACCGAGTCGAATAATACATAAATTTACTTGTTAATCTTTGGTGTCTAGTGCATTTGAGACAAAGAAGAATTTCGTTCTTAACATAATGAAAATATTATGGACCACTTTTACCTAATTATTGATTGACCTCTTTCAATTGAGTCTTTTTAACAAATTATACATGCTGCCATAATCTAATTAGTCATAAGTATATGCTAATTACAGCAATGATATGAAAGAATCTTGTCTTTATTAACTCATAGTATTATGATATATATGAAAATATGATGAGAGATTAGCGTAATTTATCCATTTTGTTTTTTATTGGAGCAATATAAACTAGCTAAGTTCTAACTCTTCTAAGTTAATGGTGTACCTTAATTTGTCCTATGTATGACACATAAGAGAATCTATATGAGTTTCATCAAAGATATTAGACTAAATTGTAGCTAACATGTAGTTATTTTTTGTATATAGGAATGAAAATAATAAGATCTAGACAAACTTTCATATGTGGCCAGCCACATTAATCACCTCCACAACCTTCAAACCCTAATCCTCAAGACTCCCTCATCCTCTTAAGCAATCCTTCCTCCTTCCAACCCCAACCTCCACGACCTCCGTCGCCACCTTCGTCACCATAGAAATCGCCGGCGAAATTGCTCCTTTTACGGTGGGGTTGGATACCAAATCGTCGCAGAAATCGATTACTCTTATTACGGTGGGATTTTAATGGGAGATAGATGATTGAGGTTTCTTGTTCGTCTTCGTCTTCTTTGTCATTTTGTTGGGTTTCTGGGTTGGTTTGGTGGGGTTGGAGTTGGAGTTGGGGTTGTTCGTCGTCGTTGCCTTCTTCGGCGACATTGGAGTAGCTTCAAAGGAGATCTATTGAAGAAGAAGAAGAAGAAGAAGATGATGATGATGATGATGATGGAGAAAAGGGGTATTCGGTCAGTCAAGGGTTACTCAGTCGGTCAAGGATTACTCGGTCAGAAGTTACTCGGTCGGTCAGGGGTTACTTGGTCAGGGGGTAATCGGTGAGAGGTTTCTTGGTAAGGGGTTGCTCAGTCGGTCAGGGTTATTTAATTAGGGGTTACTCGTTTGTTAGTTGGCCACACGGTGTGGCCTGCCACACTAAAGTTGTTATAAGATCTAAGGTATGTACAGTATTATATACATGACCGAATCTACAAAGATAAAATTGTAGATGGTGTAGTGCTATGAGGAGTTATGTTTGACAATCCAAGCTAAGATAATTTCAATAAAGATATTTAGAAAGCAATAAGATAGCTCAATAATATGTAATGTGGAAAACCTTCAAAGTGAGAAAACATCATAAAACGTTAACGAGCAAGCTAACTCCATTATAAGGCAAGCTAAGACACAAGGATGGGAGGATTAAGTAGATTACAGTCTTTCAATAATGTTTTAGATCGAAAATTCTCTTTACACATATATAAATGGATGAGCAAGAATGTAATTTTTACAGAATTATAATTAATTGGTGAATTTATTATAGAATAGCTAATAAGAGACAAAAAAATAAAATTTGTGGAAGCTAGATCGAAAACTTAAAGTTGTGATACCATATGTTAGAGGATCAATTCAACCAAAAAATTAAGCTGGTGGTTGAAACCCAAGATCGATTTATATACTCTATCAGTTTATGATAAAAAAAAATAAAAAAAAATAAAAAATAAAAAATAAAAAATAAAATAAAATAAAAAAATAAAAACATATATAAATCTCTCTTTATAATTGGAATAAAAGAGAAAACGACTTGGCATAAAGTGTATTGAATCGAACTACTATAGGCACAAGTTCCCTTAATTATATCGAGCTACAAGTCATTTAAGACAATCCACATCTTGGGGACTAGTTCAAATTGGCAGAAACTCGTACCAAATACTCCGTAAGAAACTATATATACATATAATGAATACCAAATGAGTTTTGTTCTTTAATGCAATGCAATGTATCATCAATTTGAGGCACCAACCTCATGCAACAATCTTCAACCTTAGATCAAATTTCTTAAAGAAATGATTAATCACCACACCAAAGCCTCGAGGCCTCTGGCTCAGTTTTGTCATTGAAAAATCCCTATATAACACCTGATCACTAGAATATAAATTTAAACAAGTCAAATCTCTAACAATTTAAGTTTCGACTAAGAATTTTAACAGCTCACTTATAGACTCGAGCTAGATCAAATATTGATAGTTCTTATAAACTATAAAGATTGGCTCAAACATATTACACCTCAACTCTACTTGGATCAATTATTTCACCCTTAAGCCCTAGGACGTGATATCAAATGTTTGTTTCAAATTTTAGGAATACCATGTATAGATAAGAACAAGAGGGTCGTCAAGAATAATATAATTTCTCAAGAAATATACTCGGTAACTATCTAGTCTAGCCTAAAAAGCACTATTTTTGCTAACCTCAAGGGAAAAAGCTAGAGAGAAGGGAATTTTAATCATCCAATTGTTCTTAGAAAACATTTTAATTTGTTACCTTAAACAATAACTCCATGTTTTGCATACCATGCTCTCATTCTCCCGAAAGAAATTGATTAAAATTTGTGTTCTTTTTTGGCAGTTAGAAAAAAGATCTTATTGGCTGTCTCTTTTCACTTGTATTGATTGCATGTTTCTTTCATTAGTCTCATAGTTACAGTCTGAGTCGGTCTGACATCAACGAATGTTAAATCCACCACTTAAAAGACTAAAATAATATTTAAAACATTATACAATAAATAATGCTAATTATTCACGCAAATTAACCAAACAAAAAGCAGTGGAATCCAAAGGGTATACTTCGTTAATAACAATTTTTTTTTTCTTTTTTTTACGAATCAATGAGATTTTGGCTTAGTGTAGGGTTGTTACGCTAATTAACTAATTTACTATTTTTCTTATACGAAGTAGTTTTTAAGTACATGTAAATTGCGGAGAAGTTTGTTTCCTATAATAAATATTTGCCAATAAATTTTAAATATAAT